TTTATAGGTAAGTTAGTTCATTGTAATACTACGTTTCGAGGTAAGTGCATTGTAATCAACTGTTTATGGGATATTGTATTGTAATCTAACTGTTCATGTGATATTTGCATTGTAATCAACTGTTTCGTAGGATATTTGCATTGTTATCAACTGTTTCGCGGAATAGTTGCATTGTAATCAACTTTTTCGTGGGATAGTTGCATTGTAATCAACTGTTTTATGGGATATTTGTATTGTAATCAACTGTTTCATGAGATATTTGCATTGTAATCAACTGTTTCGTAGGATATTTGCATTGTTATCAACTGTTTCGTGGAATAGTTGCATTGTAATCAACTGTTTCATGGGATATTTGCATTGTAATCAACTGCTTTATGGAATATTTGCATTGTAATCAACTGTTTTGTGGAATATTTGCATTGTAATCAATTGTTTCATGGGATATTTGCATTGTTATCAATTGTTTCATAGGATAGTTGCATTATGATCAACTGTTTCGTGGGATAGTTGCATTGTAATCAACTGTTTCAAAGGATAGTTGCATTGCATCCCACATAAAGCAGAGAAAACTTTGGCTTCTTGTGATCTATTTTTGTGATTGGTCAGCTACAGAGAGAATGTCGAATGTGAAAGCATTTTGGTGTTATCAGCCAAATTCGTTTCTGAAATCGGAAGATCTAGAACTCGCTTGTGAAGTTTTTAAGGTTGATCGTTGCTCTATTTCGTTTAGGTAACCACCCAAATTAAATTTATTTCCAAGTAAGGTTTATTTTTATTTATCTTTGATTAAATTCAGTTTATTTTGTTTACTTTTATTTAAATATAATTTATTTTTTATATTTCAATTTACGACAATGTGACAGTCTTCCCACAAGAAGATCAGTCATTTTTGCCAAGTTTTCCATTGGTACTTTTCTCTCATAAATAAAGTGTTTACTTGTATAGTTTATAAGAGGATGTAAAATACATTTTGTTTGTAAGAAGGAGGAAGAACACAAACAGATCAAGCTAAGTTATCTTTACGCGTAGTAAAGGGTTGATAATAATAATATTATATTACACATATATAGCGATATGTAAATAAAAATAAATGAATATTGACTTGACGGAATATACGGAACTCTGTGTCAACGGTTAATTATTTCGTAATAAATTGATATAAACTAATTATTACATAAAATGCTGAACGTTTTATTATAGCTTTTATTGTCTATTTTCTAAAAACAACAGCACAAAAACAAACACATCAGACACAATTGTAAATTCAAAATTAATGTAAAAACAAGAATATTGACTAAACATAGACTTACCCAAAATATCAAATTGAATGCTATGAGGACGCCTTTGGCACATTTCGCTCCACAGCCCAACGCCATCTTGGAATAGTTGAAGAGCAACGTGCAAATTTCGAACCTATTTGTATAATACAAATTTATATTAGACTTCCTTGTCTTCAAACGTAAATATTGGTATAGTACTATCACACTCCATCATATTAAAGAGACAATTTACCACGGTAATGAACCTTTTCATAGCATGTGAAATCTACTACCACATTTTGTTCAAGTCCAGTTTTCAGGGTAAAGGGGATATTTAATATCGTTCGAGCTATCGCCTGCCCATTCATTTATAAAGTAAAAATAAGAACGTAATAACTTTCTGCATGCTGATTACAAAAAATGAAGACAAAAAGTTCGAAAATACAATTTCAGATATATTGAGGAAGTTGTTGTCCTGTTTGAGAAAAAATGTAGGTTTAATATTTCATATAAATTGTCGAGGAGAAAATTTGTAAAAGACTGTAAAGTAAATACTTTTAGTTATTTCATCAATTGAAGAACGAGTTATAAAATACCGCAGGTAATTTTATTAATAACACAGGCCTGCGAATTTAAACTTCATAAAAGTTGTTTTGGTTTTAATAAGGAGTTTTCCATAATTCAGCTACGCAGATTTCAAAACTAATATTCATTTTTTCTATCACGTAAGGTTTCTTTTTCACAAATCTTGAAGAAACAAAACTCTTACTTAGATTAAATTTACATGAAATTTAACATAAATATAACAGAATATATTTAGGTTATTTGCACAACGAATAAATAGTATTGAAAATAAAAAAATAATGTCAAAGTGCACGCACAAACAAATACTATCCAGAAATGATACGTCATGAGGCCTGTTAACCGTTAATATACTAGCGACGGGTTTCTCGTGGGTTCTAGACTATCACGTCGCGATTGGTCTAGAGAAGTCTATAGTCAGTGGTTGTCAACATTTTAAGCATAACAAAATGTGACCCGTCGTTCAATGAAAATGATTCACTTATGTAAAAGTACATGCGACGTTTTGTGAAAAATCTGTATGTGATAGAGAAAATTGAATATTATTTTCGGATTCAGTGTACAGGAATTACCATAGAAAATGTAAAAATTAAGACAATAAAACCATCGCAGGCCTGTGGAATTCATACCTGTACTAGTTCGATGACGATGAACACACTTTGAGACCAATAATGGTTGGAGACGGCTTGAATGGGTAATGAAGAAAAACTTTAATATAAGTTTAACATAAGAGCAAATGTACAACGTTCCGACAAGGTTTTTGTACCTGATGATGACAAAACCTTGTCGAAACGTTGTACATTTGTT